ATATATAAAATAGAAAGTCTACAAGCAGAAGTTAAAGAAGGGAATATAAGAAAAATATAACAGGATATATAAAATAGAAAGTCTACAAGCAGAAGTTAAAGAAGGGAATATAAGAAAAATATAACAGGATATATATATATAAGCTTGAGGGCTTATAACGCAAAACACAAACACTCCATCGTCCAACCTTGCCTATACGTAATCTCTTACATTTGAAACCTAGGATTTTTTACCTACCATACATTTGTTGGACAGATTTCCTGTCTTCCCATCCAAGTTCGAAGTTATTATTAGGGATAACTTGGGAGTAAATAGCGTACATGATGGAGTAGTTCCTGGACGTGTGAAGCATCCCCAAAGCGTGTCCTACCTCGTGGCTTGCTACTTTAACGAGATTTGTTCCGCGGTCAGAAGCGACTGTTAAATGTTCATCGTCATCCACGTGGATTTCTGAATTTCCAGTTATTTTGACTGCGTGAGAAAGTTGACCTCCAAATCCATCAAAATGATTTGGACAGTTCTGATGATCTCCTAAGTAAAAAATAAAAAAAAATCGATGACTAAATAGTTTGAATAAATAAAACTACACGAAACACACGTTTAATTTTTTAAACAATACTAAAGTACATAGGTATATATAAGCATATTAAGATAGTGAAAGCAATAAACTTAATATCGTAAGCAATGATGAATATTAATTATATAAATTAAAAACATCAGATCAAAATATATTCAACAATGAGGACGAAACTGCAGTACGAAAATTATAGATTATGCCTTGGTTGTTTGTTTTTTTTTTAATTTCGCGCAAAACTACACGAGGGCTATCTGCGCTAGCCGTCCCTAATTTAGCAGTGTAAGACTAGAGGGAAGGCAGCTAGTCATCACCACCCATCGCCATCTCTTGGGCTACTCTTTTACCAACTAATAGTGGGATTGAACGTCACATTGTAACGCCCCCACGGCTGAAAGGGCGAGCATGTTTGGTGTGACGAGACCCTCAGATTGCGAGTCGAGTGCCTTAACCACCTGGCCATGCCGGGGCCTTTTGGTTTTGAGATATCTGTGGCAAAAGTAGGAACTAAATAAGGAATTAAAAGCCTTAAAAATACTGCAAAACCATTCTGTGTAAATTAATATTTATTTTTAGCTCTATTAAAAATTCATTTAAACAATTTAGAATTAAATTAAATAAAATACTTAATGAATTATTGAGAAAATTTTCAAAAAAATGATAGTAATCACTATAATTTCTAGATTATAAATCATAATCAAATTGCTTTACACAACTCGAAAACAAGTTATAAAAGTATACTTAACATTAGTATTCGTGATTTTATTCTTAATATGATTAAAATTATGTTAAGTCATCTTAATTGTGTTTTAAATAGCTTAGTTGATAAATCTGTTGCTTCAAACTCACAAAGTTAACAAAATGTCATTCGGTTCTATAAGCCTTAAATACTTGATTAGTGTTGTACTATTCATAATATTTTTTATTGTTTTTAAGAAATAAGTTTATAAGCACGTCGTGGGACTTCCAATGAGAACTAATTACGCATTGTTAATTTATATTTTTAATTTTATGAAAATACCTTTGTGGAAAATAACTCTAAGACTGATTCACTTGGATTAACGTATAATAGATAGGTACATTAATGATCTGATTAGCTTAAATATATATACTTCTGAACTACTTCTATTTTTAGTTTTGAAGGCCACTGTGTATGTTTATATGTATATATACGTTTTGATTAAAGAAGATAACTTTCTTTTTTAGTTTATGGACTTTGCTTTAGGTATAGAAAAAACATATAACCATATCACAGTTATTATGGTTCTGTAGAAATATTAATAAGATTTGTTTGTATTTTGTAAAATTAGACTATCTGCGCCGTGCCTGTGCTCACCATAGGGATCGAAACCCAATTTTTTTAAAGATAATTATTCTATAAATAATGCTAACCTTACGTTTGTAAATATAGGATCTCCGTGTGAACAAAAGACATCTCAAAACGCTATACATAATGTTTAATTGGTTTGACCACAATGTCTTAAAAAATGACATTTTGTTTTAACATAAAAAAAATAAATTTTAATTAAATTTCCACAGAAAGACTCTCCACGAATTTGAATTAAAACTTCTAATAAGAATATTTTAACTTCCACTTAGGATAATTTCTCTTCTTTGTGTGTTATTAATTTGATATATTAGACTCACTGAGCATTAAATGTAGCTCCTTACGTGATTAGTTAATATACACAAGCGTATGATACAAAATAAGTAGGGAACACAAGTGTTGTTAGTTAACTGTAAGCCAAGTTTGGTCACGCTATATCTGAAGAACTTGTATCTCGACAATAACCTTGCAGAGTGGTTTCAATAGTAAAATACTTCATTATAAGGTGTACAAGAAAAGCATTCTTCCCTATATGTTTTCCATACTCCATCAATTTTATGACGATGACAGTTTCGAGTACCTGTTTGAACAGTACAATCCCACAGAAATCCATAGGCACTGCGTACGGTGACTACCAGTTTTTTGTCTTGTATGGAATAGATTGAATGCACATTCTCCAGTTGTTTCAAATATTCAATACTTGAATGGGAGGTATATGATTGTAGACCATATCTTGGTGAACTCAAACCCCCTGGGCCTCGTTTCCAGATGAAGTTCCTCTGTTTACAGAGATAAAAGGGCGGCGGCTTTTGACACTAATCTTTGTTTCTCATCTGTTAGAAGCTGAAGAGTATTACTTACCACAGTGGGATTAGATTTCTGTAAGTCTCTTTCTGGTTGGTCTTGGTGTCCCAAGTTGATTCACATTGCCTGTTTTCCCATTAAGTACAAGGGCTATTCTTATCTTGTAAATTCCAAATCCCTAATATGAACACATCTTTATTATCTGAATGTATGAATTTTCCATTTCGGAAAGGTGGTTTCATACCTTTTCCAAAAGCGATTATTTTCCGTAGCCATTGCATTATCCACATAATGCTAAACAATGTTAGAATGAATATAGTTCTTGTACATGCCATTCTACTCAGACTTTATATCGGCTGATGTGCTCGATCAAAATCTTTTGAATCTAACGTGTAAATAACTGTATCAGCATTTAAGAAAGAACTCAATAAAACAAAAATATTACATTTTAATTATTGTACTGGTTACGACATGAAGAATCTTGTCACGGAATGAATTTAAGTTAAAGTAAATAATTACTCATTTTAAGCTGACAATGTTAACTCCAAGCTTAGATCCAACATAATTAATTAGCTAAAAAATAATGCATGGTCAGTTTTTCATTATGGACGAAAAATGATTAGCCATAAGTAATGACTTATCTGGATGTTTCCTCTCTTGCTAATGCCATTCACACCATACTGCCTCTCTTGCTAATGCCATTCACACCATACGGTGCTCCTTGTACTGTACGATTACTTTCGAACTTGTGTATTCAAGTGTTTTACCTCACTACTATAAAGGGTTGGTTTGGTTTGATATTTCATTGGTGGTAGTGTCCAGGGTCACAAACCCCCCCCCCCCAATGAAAGAATAGACCATTCCAAGCTGTTACTTGTTGTTAAACAAATGTTTAAACAACTCTATTTATTCAATGTATGCTTACTTTGTTTTTAATTGTGGTTTCACTTACTGACAAGTGAGTAGGGCTGTGAAAGCTGATTTACTGCAACGTATTTGAAGTTGATTATATCTGTCTATCCTACTTTAGAATCTCTGCTGGAAAGCCAAGATGCAACTTATAATTACCACACTACAAATGGTGCTATTTTTGTAGTTTTGTTCATGTTTCTCTTGTCCCGATGCTTGTATTTATATATATATACATAAGTGTGTGTCCTGAAAAAAAAACAGCTAATGGTAATATTGGGGTGCAATATTAAAAACACAACTTAATATGTTTCATGTTAAACCATAAAAGTTCGCGTATATTTCTATGCTTTGGTTGTCTGTTAAAGCTCAGTATGACTGTTCCAAATCAATAGTATAGGAATGTATGAACCAGACCCTTCAGGTTACTGTTAATCTTATTGTTTTTGTTTTAGGCCTTAATAACTTGGAGAGATGGTCCCGTGGAGTAAAGAGTAACTGGTATAGTTTATTTGTACTTTTATTCTCTGAAAGTTATGTAGATTATTTATATGTAAGGCTTAGTTTAACAGAGCAGACTCAAGAAAACATGTTATTCTTTTGTTTTGTTCATCCGTGCACTTCGTCGTCTGCATATTTCTTTTCTTCTATAACCTTTTAACCTCTCGTACTATTACCATATCTCCTGTCATCACTACTTTACGTGCTATATATATATATATCTGAACCCTTGAATTTCGTTTCATTGCAGAAATAGTTTTCCAGCTATTATATCTTTACATACTAATATAATAGAATTCTGCTTTTTTGTAGTAAAGTATAATTACTCATAATTACTTACAGAATATAATTGCTCACAGAATATAATTACTTACAGAATATAACTACTCATAATTACTCACTGAATATAATTACTTACAGAATATAGTTACTCATAATTACTTACAGAATATAATTACTCATAATTACTCACAGAATCTAATTACTCATAATTACTTACAGAATATAATTACTCATAATTACTTAGAGAATATAATTACTCATAAGTACTTACAGAATCTAATTACTCATGATTACTTACAGAATCTAATTACTCATAATTACTTACAGAATCTAATTACTCATAATTACTTACAGAATATCTTACAGAATC